GTGGCTTTGATTTTTACAATGTCGATTTTTATTACCCATTACCTGCAGCACTTTAATTCTTGCCATTCCATTTCCTCAGATTGTGATTATTTGTCAAAGTGCTCGATTTTATTTATTATTACCCACCTACAGACTCTCACGCTTAAACACATGCAACGAAACAATTACGGCGGTTTTTAAATTGAATAATATCAAACCACAGAGAAGAGCCATCAATCCCAAATTAGCTGGCATTTCGATAATGGGGCGACCAGCATATTTATTCCTTCGGTTTCGATACCCTAATTGATATTTAATTTGCTGACGTCCCGAACTTTTTGAATTTAGATTATCTAAATGGATACAAATCGATTTAGACTGATTTTATTTATGGTAAACGCAAGGTGCCCACCTGTGAATTTTCACTATTTTAGAGCGTCTATGTGATGGTTGAGTCAACGGTAACTGTTGACAGTGAGATGTAAAATTAATCTTTCCACGCAATATTCACAAAACGTTTGGCGATAATCTGCATCAGCTCCGATTGCATCCTGGTAAAAGGTTTTCCTATCGGTTCATCTGCAGCAAACACATAACAATATTCGACGTTTGAGCAAATATAAAATTCAGAAGCTCCATCCCAGATATCTCTTAACAACCGTAAATAAACATAGGCCCAAGTTAGTAGTCCCTCTTATATTTGCCTTCGTTTTAGGAGGTTTTTCGATACCTATCTGAAAAAGAAACAAACAGCTCCCAGCGGACAGAGATAACAGTTTGAAAGACAGTTTCAAGGCACCAGAAGATATCGATGACCTGCTGTTATTTTAGTTAACATAGGAGTTGTCAAACCACACCAGGGTTTGCTTGCAAACACGATGCGTAATTTGGTGGAAAAAGGTCGGGCTTTAAGGTGCAAGACAACATCGCTTTGTTAAAAGATGCTTTAAAAATTACTCTGAGCACCAGTCTTCGAACCTGAGTGTGATAAGATAAACAATTGAAGAACAGTAGTAATCTATTAGTGCCTCTCCTTTGGTCAGTTTTTTACCCCCCTGCTGGTGTGTTGCATTGCAGTTTTTATCTCTCATATCAGATTCCTTCGTAATTACCACTTCTCCTCCCGGTCATTGTGCATGGCAATCCGCAAATTGACATCAACTACTAGTTCTGGGGCTCTGTGAATATAGGGATAATGGGAATTATTTGCATTATGTTTCATTAATGCGATGCATTGCCAAGTTCATTAGAGATGCCTGAAAACATACCATGTCTATGCAATCACTGTCTTTTTTTCTGGCTTTTGCCATGTAGACCTCGTATTGAATAATAGGAAATTAAAGCAGGTATTTATGGAGGTTCTTAGCTTTAAATGCGCATTCCTGATAATACTTCATTTGCCAGCCATTAATATGTTCATGAAAGCTTGATTATGTGTTTCCAATTAGTCTAGCATGCAGTCGTTGTTGCAAATGAGAAAACAGCGCAAATTTATCGCGTTTCCAGATCGTTCACCTACGGTTAAACCAACGAAAAAGCATCGCGACTCGTGACACAATTTGCAAATGGTTTGTAACATTTTTCACGTTTTTCTTCATAATATACGGACGTCTTAAGATCGTAATGCATCGATATAAATCTTGTATATTTTCGCATGGCGAATAACTTTGTCCCAGCTACAGCTGAACAACAATATAAGGCAATGGAGCCGAGGCATAATAATTCTTAGCGGATGTTAATAAAATAGAGTGAACTTAAAAACTGCATTAAAACATGCCGGGCCACCTTTGCATGAAGTAATAAATTTCAAATTCAACGGCTTTAAAAAACTTGATCTATACCATTAGTGCTTTAACCATCATAAATTCTCGATTGGTGTTCAATCTGTTCAACATTCAACACAGAGGCGGCGTCGTCAGGGAATTTAAACCGTTAAAAAAAAGGGTGAGTATTGGTTCCGGGCCAGAAATTTGGAATTGAGTAGATTTTGTGAAATATTTTTGAAATTTTCGCATCTTTTGCCTGACTCGGTCAATGCACTCAATTATGTACTTAGTAGACTAAATTACTCCAACACGCTTCAATCGTATGCCATAAAATTGTTTAAATGGTCTTTGGCTAAACCCTGGGTTGTTATGCAAGAAAATGTGTTCAGATTTAACATGTTACGCCATTGGTCGGCACTTTTAAAGTAAGTGCATTCGAACATTTGAGTGCGTCCAAGTATGAAGTTTATTTGTCGTTCAATATCGGATACGGCAAAATTTGGGGACGCGTGACACTTTTATTTTTTAAGGGGCGGGAGACGAGCAGCCCCCAATGACTCTCTTCAAGATCACCCGCACGTAATTATCAGTTATCAGCCATCCGGAAAAGCGCACGAGCTTTTTAGCGCCGCTTTCTTTAAATATATTTATGTCAAAGCTTTTCAATTTGCTCACGTCGGTACCGATATTTCATCGTTGAGCTTCAATACACTCAATTAGACTTTGCCATTGAAATTTAAGGTCTTGCGTGTTTTAACTTCAATCTTGGTGGTTGTTTCTAACTGTCATTGACATTTTTAACTGTGACCGCTCTTGAGATAATTGCCTTGACTGAAACAAATCGAAATGACATATATGCGTTCAAAATTACAGATAATTTATTTCTAATTATTTCCAGGATATGGATCATGGGGTCGGATATTGAAATGATTTTATCTATGATGGTGACCGTACTAATCCTAATGATTTAATTTTGACCCTTTGTGTCTGAACATATGTTCTTTTTCTCGGCAATTATATACAACCCATCATTATTTGATGTTTTTGACTGATTGCCCGCGATGAGTGTTATCAAATATAATGTTGGCTTAACATGATAGTAAGGTAAAAATAGTCATTTGAACACAGTATTCTATAATACGTACAGCCGAAGAAAATTGCTGAAAACTATATATCTGCACGGCGATGACGATTTACTTCGAAATTGATGACCACTAAATTTTATTAAAAAATTAACCGCTGGGTTTATGAAGCACGCAAGAGGTTTGTTGGAAAAGGTATTAAAATTGTGTCGTATCCATTAGAGATAATAATACGTATCATTCAGTTCCTCGACCGCTTACTAATTATTTTCTAAGAAATAACCTCCACAATGAGTCCCTTGACATGTTTGATTTTAATATCAACGGTGCAATCTGCAGAACACTGGTCACATCATTCAATATTTACGAAGTCAAAATGCCGACATCATTTTTCATATATTTAGGTAAATAGCAGGAAATGACCACTCAATGTTGGTTTAACTCGTGTAAATAAAAAATTGCCCAGAAAATTATGAAATAATTGAGCAATTGATAGCGGCAAATAAATATCTTTTTTTTGGGTTATTGATGAAGGAGCGCAAATACGCCGTAATATTTCTCTGTTTACTCAGCAGACCATGAAATTCGTTCCCCAAATTTAATCTATTAGATTTGACAGGCTCGTTTTTTGAGAAATGATCAAGTTTTTCAAAAGATACCCTGGCAGCAGGAACGTTTACCAAAAAACACGAATATCTGATAATTCAATTGGAAGTAGTGGATGAGGAAAAACTGGCGAGGCCAGAAACGTTGATATTTTAAGTATAATGACGAAGAGGAAGGTCACATTCCACTTTTGCAATCAGTGATTTAATCTGGAAATAAACAATAAACACACATACACTATAGGCAATCAATGATTAAATGCTAAAAACTACATAGTCAGTATATCTGGCTATTGTTACAGGAGTGATATACCACTCTGATAGCATGAAGTATTTGGCCGAGCGAAATTTGGACAAGCGAAATGATGGATGGCCGCTGTCAAACGAGAGCAAATTGTGTCGAGCCAAAGCGACTATCGACTAATGTCTTCGGTAAAATGGAAATTCATTTTCCCCATATATCAATCATGTTTCCTGGTTCTCGTCTTTGTGTTTTCGAATCTATATTAAAGAGATTATATCTCCTATCTTCATGCATTAAAAACTTTATCGGCTTATGAATAAAGTAGATGGAGTGAAATCGGAAATGGATTGCATGCGTGGGGCCTATTCATCTTTGGAGGAAAATTGAAAATTAGATGGGTAATGCTTCTTGTGAAATATTAGGAAAATATGAGCAAAGGTTATCAACCCGTTTTGCTTTAGTTTAGGGATTTTTGCTTTTCATGGATCACCTGCTCCAGAAAAAATCGACCTGCTCCAGAAAGTCTTGATTGCCTATATTAATGCGTTAATTAACCTCTTACACGCGGTGTGAATAATAAATAAATCAGCTCTGTATTTTATAACAGGCTTAAAGCATTTCACTTTCATCTCGGAAGTAGCTTAAACAATTCGGAAGTGTGTCGGTTACGTAAAAGTACCTCGTTTTCTTAGTCTGGCCAAGTTATTACTTCAGATAACAACTAGAGATGTCTGTTGGCGGCTGAAGAGTTTTCGTACTAAATTTCTTATTTTGTGCTTTCACTATTTCTTAGGTCCTACATTTATTAAGTCAAAGAAAAGCGTCAAGGGTGTTCAAAGACCCCGTTCCCTACATAGATAATCATCGTCTAATTCAAAGAACTACTGAAGTATAACAAATTAATTTTCTGAGATAAAGAAGATCTGCGTTTCATTCCAAGAAAGTAATTTTCAACATTTCAAAGCTCAATTCTGCACAGTACTTATCGAGGTCCAATAAAGGGCAGATTTTTATTTCTATGGTATTTCTGTAAAAAGAACCCGAACCCTTGACAAATGGGTTCCACCCCCTTGTCAGAAACATAAAGAATATAAACGAAAATAAACATAATTTATACTTAAGAATTTACATCTGTCTGAACGTCGCCAGATTTGTTAAGATGAGACTTTCGAAACAAAGAACGGTCAAATTGCACGTGTTTCAACACGTTCAGGCCCTATCTGTTTAATGGTTAAGAACGGTCTACCTGTACCCTTAAGACATGTTGTTAAGTCGTACTTCTACCGCATCAACGCAAAAACGTTTTTCACTTTCACTATTCAGTTGATATAGTATACAAAAGAGTGCTGCGCGGAGGGGCTAAATATCCACAAGGTGAGCGGTAGTTGCGAAGCGTTTAAACAATCAGTATAATAATATTTTTCGTAACACACAATGTTAAACAGGGCGCCAGTTTTTATTTTTACCAGGAAAAAATAGTACCTACCATGGTCCTGACCGGAAAAATCATCATACGAATTGTGTTCGCGATTTGTTTTGTGCTGCTTCTTATTTCGGATTATTCGGGTTTAATTAATAAACTCATCGGAGGAAACAAGACTGAAGAAAACAAACATACTGCACCGAGACCAACTAATCCTGGATATGGAGACTCAAAGGCAGATATCGATATCGATGCAGACATTGAAGAGGAATCGGTAAGACATTTAGGTAAGTATTTAACAATTACCTAAAATTTAAGGAATTTCGAGCAACCAGTTTTGCCACTGATTACGTACGTAGGTAGTTTCAAGGTGTTTAATTCATAATTGAAAATATCTTCCAAGGTTGTTACAACTGGTTTCAGCCATAACCTTTGCTACTTGGGGACATTTTCTCTAAACTTGAACAGTAGATGTGAACATGATTTTCTACGTTGTTTCATTTTTCAGCTTCACAGACGACAAGATCGCATATTTTGCAAACCATTAAAAATGCGTGTCTACCGAAGCTGATCTGTGAATTAACTGCAACTCCACAGAAAGAAAAACTGACGGAGACTGAGAAGTCTTTGCTGAATTTACTCAGGTGATTAATCTTAACGTGCGAAGACACTTATTTGGGTGTATTTACTTTTTGATTTAGCACTTGGGTCCTTTAATAAACTAGTTGTGTAGCTAATAGCAAAAGTAAAACGTTTAAAATAATAGCACGCCACACCAGTAATGTTTACCTATCTGTGAAATATGTATTTGCTGGTCATAAATGAGGTTTTAAGGTTTTGTGGTGAATACCATTTTCTCTTGGAATTGGAATGGAACGAACAGAGCCCTTAAAAATGTACATTTAAATATTTCGTCATCAGTTGCATAATGCTTCACGTTAACAACGCCTCAGTATTACGATGTATAATAACAAGCTATTGCTAAAATAGCACCTATCAGAGAAAGTATTGGACTCAATTGTTAATGTTACGTACATATACCGCGGCTAGCACCATGGAAGTGTTATATAAACCACTGCTTGCGTGTGTCTAAAAATGTGATTTCCACTGGCTCAATGTTATTAGAAAGTTCTCATTTTTACCTTTTCGTATAATTTTTTTTGGACAAATTTCCGCTGATAAAGTCCACTCGAATAGTTTAAGTGTTTAATTAGTCTAGTTCTAGTGAACTAGTTCAAATTGAATTGCTAATGTGATTCGTTAAAAGTTAATCAAGACAAGTTTTTCTGCTGACCTTCTTGAAGTCTGCTAATAACGAAAAAGTCAGACGCTAACCGACTAATGATTTTTCAGGGAAACAACTATAAGCACTACGGCCGAATTGACCTCTAAATATCACTTTGCTGCACACATGGGCCAGCTAATCGCCGGAGTTGACGGAAATGGTTGCCATAACTTTTACCCAACATGCCCTTTTCCTGGATTGCAGGTTCTTCAGATGATGAAAAAAGTCCGGATGCGCTGAAACTTTGATGAAACTCAGGATGCCAAACTTTATATATTCTGGGTAATTTACCAATTGCCCGTTTTTTGTTGAAACGTTTAGCCCTTGACTTGTTAACAGTTGAAAGGTTTAACTAAATGGCAATTCAGCTGATAGGAATATTTCGTTTTTCCCAATCTCCCTTCAACGTATTTATTTCAGACCTTAGAACAACTCAGCCCATTTTCCTGCGATCGGTCTTTGAAGGACTGAACCAAAGGAAACCTTCACAAAGAAGACGTTTCTCTCTATTGTATAAATTGATACTTTAACAAGACTCTGTGATAAAACCTTTTTAAAGGCGAATCGTAGTTGGGATGTAAGCAAAATTAGTTTGTAAAATATAGTTAAGTGCAAATAAAAATTAAACTGATCCATATGTGTATTAGTGCTTCCCTATAGATTCTGTAATGGTGACGATGACGAATAAAGCCCATTATTTCCGAGTAAATCTGACAAAATATCCCTATAGAGAAATGATGTTATAATACATAAAATTTTACAACGAGAATAAAGGATTCTAATTTTGGAATGAAATAGTTTGGAAATATATTCATGAGCAACATTAGAGAGTCAGCTCTTTGTTTTTATGCAAAGAAGTCATAAAGTTTCGCGCGCCATATTTAAATTTATTTTGCCGGGAAGAATTACAACGTCTTCCTCATTTTATATCAGTATATTTTAGGTTAATTCCGAAGGAAAATGTATGAAAACTACATTCATTTCCATAAATAAGCTTCTGGCTAAGTTTTTATGGCACTTTGTTGAAGAATACAAGGCGCTTCATTATTACACGGAAACATTTCTTGTTTGGCTAATAGTATTAATAATTACATTTTCCTTAATGTTCTTCCCGAGTATTTGCTTAAAAAAGTTTTAACTTCGCACGTAATAAATTGTATAATCCATTCGTACTAACATTAGACGTAAAGTGTCTTTTTAAGGTTTTATGGTATTTTTTCGTTTTCTTTCAAGAAACACTACGCAATAGAAATATCGTTTCAAGCGCCTCGATAACAGTATTTGATAGAAATGAATAAGCAAAGAGACAAAATATCCTTGACTTTTGAAGGCTACACTGCATTTGTCGAGGGACGGACAGTTGCAAAAGAAGTCGATTTCATTAGTTTGATGCAAATGTGGTGCATTACAATATTTGCGTAATTTAGTTACAAAAATAATGGCGCAACTAATTTAATATTGCAGCTGAAACGCGTTACCTAAAATTAATTAAAGTCATCGATGCAAATTAATAATTTGGCCATCAGTTGAACCCAAGTTCGGTTATTACCATTCAATATCAATAAGTGTTGCGCCTATTACTTAACGTATAATTATCTAATAAGACTTATTTCGAATATTAAACGTTGTATTGCCCTCCACAGGTAGTTTTGTTATGTGGAGTGGTGGTCACTTTCACTCTTAAGACTGACTTACAAACATAATTCACAACCCACTGTTTCTTTTGCCGTTCCTAAAATACCATTTACCATTTGTGACTTGTAAATTCTTCCGGTTATAGTACAACCTTTTCCTCGCCAATATGAGAACTTTGAATATTGGCTTTCTCGCCTATTTATTTATTTGTGTAACGTTCCTTTTGGTGGATAAGCCGGCTTCGACTGCAGCTCAGGAACCAGCTTTTGAACTACCCGTGGAACTCGTAGGTTTTCCTGTTATTATTGTGGCAGTGCGATTGTCCAACTTTGTTAAGAAACTGGCCTACTCCTTAAACCCAAGTAAGTGCATGTTCCAACGAAAGCCACTTTGATATTAAAGAACGATCCCAATCAATTAAAATTCCAGGCTTGTATGACCTATTTAAGACCCTCATATGTCCCAAGGTTGACCACTTTCATTTGCTGAGTTGTAAATGTGCAATGCAGATTTTGCAATAACCAATGCCTATATCAAAGTTCCACACCCTAAGGCGAAATCGCTATGTGGAAATCATTTGCGTTTTCATTAAGAACAAAGTTGATTTTTGCAGCAAAATTGTTTTGGTTAATGGAAAAATTAACGAGAAATGTAAAAGCAAGGAAACGAAACATGCAATCTAAAGAAATATTGTTTGTGATTCCGTAGCCGGACAACCTTTCACTACCAGCTGCTTTAATATTTAAGAAATGTACGTGCCTGAGACACGATTACGACAACATGATATTGCTTGTCTACTTTTAACTGGGCCTTGTTCAGCCCCATGAAAAATCCCATTGTTTCTTACCTAAAAGAAGAAACCAGACAAGATGCATTGTTACGCCGTCTAGATGATGCAACAAATCAACTTCAATTACTGCTGGTCTCGATTCTCAATATTTATTTTTAAATTGAAAAATCCGTGCTGTCTTCATTTGTGTTCGAATAGACAAATTCTGTCATCGGCAAATTATTTTTACAGGCACATATGTGAGTAAAAGGGCGCGCAGAAGTTTAACTGATGAAGAGATGATTAACATGATTGAAGCAGAGAAGCGACTTGTGACTGAACTTGGTGATAATGTTTGTATATATCCAAAAGTGTGTCTTCACCATGCTGTACAAGCGCGGAAAACTGGAAAACGACAAGTCCGAGTAGATTGGGATGATGTTTTCACGTGAGTTAAACCCATGTAATACATAAGAAATTTGAACCTCTAACAACGATTTTTTGGAAATAAATTGAATGCATTTAATTTTAATTTTTTTTTGCGTTTGCTGCTTAGATCGTTTACATTTTTGCTTGCTAAAAGTCTGGGGCTGAAGGACTTTTTCGGAAGTTTAAAGGAAAAATCCCACATTAATTCAACATTTAATTAACTAACTAGTTTACATAATAGTGGCAGCAATTATCAACCTCCAACGCCTAAGAGGAATACTTGGGCAGATAACAATCGAAAGGGTTGTTTAATTAATTTCAATGTAATTCGTACAAATTGGGGTGTTTAATTTTCAATGTGAGGAATGTTTATAACCGGGTTGGAGATTCGTTGATTATGGTTACGCATATTAATATGTTTTTATCATTTTCAGCAACTACAAAGCGTCAAAGGAACGACAGAAAGAATTCTATTTCCTGAGTGTATTTTTGGGAGATTTTATTGCGTCTCCTAAGTTCTGTAATCAGCTCGTCAAAAGAGGCCGAACATGCACAGATTGATTAAATTCAAGAATTCTAGTCATGTATATTTAATTGTATATACTCTAGCAGCCTACCGGCTTCTAAGCAAACCCTCTTTAAAGTAGCCGTAGTTTAATTGTGTCCTAAAATTATTTGTGATATATCACTTCTGAAAACATATCACAAACATTTTTACCAAAACTTAGTTTTAAAAATGTACATATAGTTTCAGTTCTTTTGGGTTACTCAGCCTAAGAACTACACGATTGAAAAGGCCGCAGGTGCAATAAAACATTTAGGATCTAAAGTATATATTATATCACGTATTTGTTTAAGTAATAAAATATTTTTTTGTAATATTAATTGCACTATTTACTCGGAAAATGTAGTCGGCTCGGTCTGCGCACCTCGTCATTAGGAAAACTGTTATACAACAGCTGATTGTACTGGTCAAAGTCATAAGCCAATGACTGTTGATAATTTTGCTCCTCATCGTCTAAGTCCAATTTTAGTTCCCCCGTTCCTGTTCGATCGGGAAATATATTTGGTGAAGGAACGTGGTTTGGTAACGGTCGTTGAATGTCCAGTACATTTTCGTCATCAGTACTAAAGTGAAGCGTTTTCCCTCGCCTGTATGGGTCTGATGGGAACTTGAAACTTTGCTCACCAACTTGTTCTGCATTGTACGAATGAGAAGGAAATGATATTCCATGTGGCTCGAAAACTGCCGAATGGGAAAGTTCTGGAAAGCTGAGTCCCTTGTGTTTTTTTACAAACACCTCTCTGTTAATATCATTGCTGAGGTACTCAGATGGTCGATTTTGAATCCTCTTTTCAGCCAAAGCTTTCCCAAAATAGCCGGGCCTGTACCCACTCAATTGTTGAGCGTAGTTTTGTTGGTACACGTTCTGGCCTGTCGGGTTCAATCCTTGGAAGAACCGGAAAAATCCTCCGTTATGATTGTTGAGGTACTGAATCAACTTATCTGCGTCACTGGGGCATTCTGGATACGCAGTTTGACAGGATCGGGGATTGCCTTTGGAGGCAAATCCTAAAACTGCCGCTTTTCCAAAATGCAGCACTGGTGACATTTGGGCACTGCTGAACCCAGAAAGCAATCTAGAACATCGGGAATTTGGACATTTTCTAATAATCAAAATTAATTCCTGGGTTTCAGACATTTATTGTCTCTATTTATCAATTAAAATACGTTTCGGTGTATTGTGTAGCAACAACGCTACACATAAAAACTGATGATGGTGGAAAAATACACCGAAACGTATTTTAATTGATAAATAGAGACAATAAATGACTGAAACCCAGGAATTCATTTTGATTTGGAATTGAAACACAGTCAGGAACGTATGTACAATTTTCTAATAATGTCAATGTATAACGTGACTTACGTGGTTAAGGATTCTGAGTTTAAATTGACTGGTAAGTTCAGCCCGCCCTGCCTCCCAGTTAGGCCTCCAGAAGTAAGTTCGCATAGTAGTTTTGGCACGCACTGTAAATCGTCGTTTTGAGCAATGGAAAATAGAGCGTCCATTACGGATTCTTTGGTTTTCTCGATAATCGGAGGTTTCCGGTAAGGAAAACTTGAGTACTGAGCGTATGAGGGTCTCGGGTTTTGGTACTCAGATCCAGGTATTTGGTTGCTGATGTAATCTGGGTAAAAACTGGGCCGTGAGCCATATCTATGTTGATAGGCGTCGTAACTTTGGTAATATGATGGAAGCTTTTCAATTTCTGAGTAGTATTGTCTATTTTGCCGACCATGAATCGCTCTATTAGAAATATCCCTGAAACGCATAAGGGACAAGTGAGTTTGGGTATTTTAATTTCATTTAACCAATAGACACTATTTCACATGTTACTTACAGAATTGCTTCTGCTAATTCCTTGGATGCGTGTTTATTCGATATAGCTAAAAGACTCCCAGGCACTAAACAGAACACCCAAAAACGTAAAGCAGTTCGGAAATGCATGGCTAACGTTGTCAAAGCACTGATTTCAAATAAACCAAAGATTCAAAGAAGCCACATGAAAGTTTCTCTTAAGAAAGTTACGTAGGAAAGATGACCCACGCATAATTTGCAAATAATTTGTTTTTATTTGATCACTTTCGTTTGCCAAATACATAAACCGGGTTTGCCAATGGCGTAGAATAATCAGGTCGTTTATGGGATGATTTCATCAGGCCATAAAATATTCAATAGGCGATTAAGAGGTTCAATTTCTATCAAGTGTTGTTCACCGACACACGAAATTGGGCGCATCTTTAAAATTTGCGGTTTATAAAAAGAGCATTTAGGCGTGTAATACTGATATGAATTCGCACCCTTGCGATTTCCTTTAAATCTATGAAAAAGAACAATGTCTGGAGGAATAACAAAACCGGTAAGCTGCGTTGCAAGCATGGATTTGTATAGCATTAAGGGATAAACGGAATACGGGGGGAAACTCTCTGATTTCGACGTGTCGCAAACACTTTGAAGTTGCCACTGTCAAAGAATCTTTTGTCATCGGTTACTTATTATTACGTTCATTTGGGTCTTTACGACTCTATGGTTCACAATGAATTACCATTTTCCCGCTTTTTAATTATAGTGAAGCCTTTGATATTAATTTGAGGACTTTTAATCTAAAGCTGCAACCCTGACGCACCGCTATATTTATTCCTTTCCATAAATTCCATTCAATTTTGATCCCCTTTATTTTTCGCACTGTCCCGTTATGTAATGCGTTGACTTAAATTTAATTAATTTAATTTTACACAGAAATATGCAGAATTACACCGTATGGATCCCGCATATAAAGTGAATAACATATTTCATGTCATACATTCTACCGTACTAAATGAATAAGTCAACGTCGTCAACCATAATAATTTTAATGGACTGCGAATATTTCGTGTTGAAAGTTGCATTTAATTGACTAGCAATAGCTTTAATTGCCGGGAATTGTTGTGTTTTAAAGCAGCTTTCCGAAACAGAAACTTTGCTCTTCACTTAAAACTCCAAAGATAAATACTCCATCCTCAGTGCTTCTAATTGTTAACACTTCGAATGGACGCCCAGCAAACCGTATTTACATATCTATCAAACACAGGGTTTCAAAGGGTTATCACACGCTAAGCAAGAATAATTAGATGATTGAAATGGGCATTTTGTATCAGTCAACCGCACACTATTTGCTAATTGCAGGCAATTAATTATGGTGTCACGTGATGACAATGCACATAGCCATTGCTCGCTATCTATCTTGCATGAAACGCTTTATTGAAGAAACTGAAAATTTCATTGCATCTCGTGTTAAGCGAAAATCGCACTTGGTTTGCTGGAATTTAATTAGCTTTACGTTTTCCGACTTTAATCCGATGTGTCTCTGTTCGAATACCCGTATGGGTATGGCATCCCTTTGACTTTGTCGCACTTATTGGCTTAATTGCATACTGCCATTTACGCGTTTTTCTTTTTTTATTCTCAATTCTAAGAAAACCAATTTTGGTCAGTCGGAAGTCTCAGTTCCATTCTCAAATATTCGCCTAGAGAATTTTTTTGTTTTGTCACCTAATGCGTAGATTAGAACTGTAACAGCAGCTAAAACGCATTATTCCATAAATATTGATAAATAACAACACACAATCATCTATATGTCAAGGGCGGATCCAGGGGGGG